ACAGCAATCAGAGAAGAAAAAGAAATAAAAGGAATCCAAATCAGAAAAGAAGAAGTAAAGCTGTCACTGTTTGCAGATGACTGATACTATACACAAAGCATCCTAAAGATGCTATCAGAAAACTACTAGAGCTAATCAATGAAGTTGGTAAAGTAGCAGGATACAAAATTAATGCACAGAAATCTCTGGCATTCCTATACACTAATGATGAAAAATCTGAAAGAGAAATTAAGGAAACACTCCCATTTACCATTGCAACAAAAAGAATAAAATACCTAGGAATCAACCTACCTAAGGAGACAAAAGACCTGTATGCAGAAAACTATAAGACTTTCATGAAAGATATTAAAGATGATACAAACAGATGGAGAGATATACCATGTTTTTGGATTGGAAGAATCAACATTGTGAAAATGACTATACTACCCAAAGCAATCAACAGATTCAAGGCAATCCCTATCAAACTACCAATGGCATTTTTCACAGAACTAGAACAAAAAATTTCACATTTTGTATGGAAACACAAAAGACCCCTAATAGCTAAAGCAGTCCTGAGAAAGAAAAATGGAGCTGGAGGAATCAGGCTCCTGGACTTCAGACTATACTACAAAGCTACAGTAATCAAGACAGTATGGTACTGGCACAGAAACAGAAACATAGATCAGTGGAACAGGATAGAAAGCCCAGAGATAAACCCACACACATATGGTCACCTTATCTTCGGTGAACGAGGCAGGAATGTACAGTGGAGAAAGGACAGCCTCTTCAATAAGTGGTGCTGGGAAAACTGGACAGGTACATGTAAAAGTATGCGATTAGATCACTCCCTAACACCATACACAAAAATAAGCTCAAAATGGATTAAAGACCTAAATGTAAGGCCAGAAACTATCAAACTCTTAGAGGAAAACATAGGCAGAACACTCTATGACATAAATCACAGCAAGATCCTTTTTGACCCACCTCCTAGAGAAATGGAAAGAAAAACAAAAATAAACAAATGGGACCTAATGAAACTTCAAAGCTTTTGCACAGCAAGGTCATAAACAAGACCAAAAGACAACCTTCAGAATGGGAGAAAATATTTGCAAATGAAGCAACTGACAGTGGATTAATCTCCAGAATTTACAAGCAGCTCATGCAGCTCAATAACAGAAAAACAAACAACCCAATCCAAAAATGGGCAGAAGACCTAAATAGACATTTCTCCAAAGAAGACATACAGATTGCAACAAACAAATGAAGGGATGCTCAACATCACTAATCATTAGAGAAATGCAAATCAAAACTACAATGAGATATCACCTCACACCTGTCAGAATGGCCATCATCAAAAAATCTACAAACAATAAATGCTGGAGAGGGTGTGGAGTAAAGGGAACCCTCTTGCACTGTTGGTGGGCGTACAAATTGATACAGCCACTATGGAGAACAGTGTGGAGGTTCCTTGAAAAACTAAAAATAGAACTACCGTATAAGCCAGCAATCCCACTACTGGGCATATACCCTGAGAAAACCATAATTCAAAGAGTCATGTATCACAATTTTCATTGCAGCTCTATTTACGATAGCCCGAACATGGAAGCAACCTAAGTGTCCTTTGACACATGAATGGATAAAAGAAGATGTGGCACATATATACAATGGAATATTACTGAGCCATAAAAAGAATCGAAATTGAGTTATTTGTAGTGAGGTGGATGGACCTAGAGTCTGTCATACAGAGTGAAGTAAATCAGAAAGAGAAAAACAAATACTCTATGTTAATACATATATATGGAATCTAAAAAAAAAAAAAAGGTTCCGAAAAACCTAGGGGCAGGACAGCAATAAAGATGCAGATGTAGAGAATGGACTTGAGTACGTGGGGAGGGGGAAGGACAAGCTGGGACTAAGAGAGAGAGTGGCATGGACATATATACACTACCAAATGTAAAATAGATAGCTAGTGGGAAGCAGCTCAGCACAGGGAGATCAGCTCGGTGCTTTGTGACCACCTAGAGGAGTGGGATAGGGAGGGTGGGAGGGAGAAGCAAGAGGGCGGGGATATGCAGATATATGTATATGTATAGCTGATTCACTTTGTTATAAAGCAAAAACTAACACACCATTGTAAAGCAATTATACTCCAATAAAGATGTTAAAAAAAAGGAAAAGGAAAGCAAACAAAAAAGCAGACTCACAGATACAGAGCACAAACTAGGGGTTATCAGTGGGTATGGAAGGGGGGAGGGGCAATAAAGGGTTATGGGATTAAAAAAGGGTTATTATGGGATTATATGAAATCACGTGTGTGAAACTTTTGAAAATTGTAAAGCACTATTGTTTCATTCAATAAAAATTAAAAAAGACTCAAGAAAAAAAAATTATACAAGGGACAGGAGAGAGGAGTTAGGAATAATTTATTATAAGATACTTGCATTAGCCACAAAATGGTATAGTGTTATTTAAAAGTGCTCCACAACAAGAGAAGCCACAGCAGTGAGAAGCCCGTGCACCACAGTGAAGAGTAGCCCCCACTGCTGTACTAGAGAAAGCCTGAGCACAGCAAGGAAGACCCAATGCAGCCAATAAATAAATAAATAAATTTATATATATATGAAAATAAAACAGTAACAAATATGAGTCCCATATAATATTGGTCCAACTATATCAATAATCACTTAAAAAATTTATTTTTGGCCGCAAAGCACAGCTTGTGGGATTTTAGTTCCCTGACCAGGGATTGAACCCATGCCCTCAGCAGTGAAAGCGCAGGGTCCTAACCACTGGACCACCAGGGAATTCCCCAAAAATACAACCCAACTATATATCATCTACAAGAAACCCACTTTCAATATAAAAACACATATAGATGAAAAGTAAAGGCATGGTTGCTATGACATTAGAGCTTTAATGTTCCCACTATAACAACAACAAAATGGTAATTATGTGAAGCAAAGGATGTGTTCACTAACCTTATTGTGGTAATTATGTTGCAGTATATATGTGCATCAAATCATCACACTGTAAACCTTAAACTTACACAATGTTATATGTCAATTATATCTCATAAAATTAGAGGGAAAAAAAAGCAAGGGGATAGGGATGGAGAAAGATGCATTGGGTCGTCCAAAAGGTTCATTTGGTTTTTTCCATCAGATGGCTCTAGTACAAAGCATACTAACAGGCAAAAAAACACAGTCTGAAGAGACAGAGCAAGAACCAGATCCAGACTCAGTTGTGGCAGGGATGTTATAATTATCAGACTATGAATTTAAAACAACTATGATTAATAAGCTAAGGAACTACTGGAAAAAGTAGACAACGTGCAAGAACAGAGGGATAATGGACTTCCCTGGTGGTGCAGTGGTTAAGAATACACCTGCCAATACAGGGGACACAGGTTCGATCCCTGCCGGGAAGATCCCACATGCCTCAGAGCAACTAAGCCCATGAGCCACAACTAAGATCCCAGAAGCCGCGTGGAGTGGCTTGAAAACCTCTTACCATTCCCAAGTCAGGGATCCAGTGGGTCCAGTGCGGAATCGAAAGAAAATTTAGCACATGGCAAAGAAGTTCTACTGCGTATCCAGAAGATTACAAGCGATCAGTAAATACTCGTTGACTAATTGCTTGTCACATTTTTGGAAATAATCAATCAGATTTAGGATAGAGACCCGGCCCACCGCTTTGATAGGTATTCGTACTACTGAACTACATTTCCCAGCATGCATCAGACTCACGGCGGTAGAGTTTTTTGGAAAATAAAAGACTACAACTCCCGGCATGCCGCGTCCCGGCGGAGTGGACTGTGTTGCTCCAACAAGCAGGGGTATGGGCCTATCAGGGGGCGGGGCGGGGCTGGTCCGGGCACCACGGCCAGTTAGACGGAAGGAGCGGCGCGGCGGTGGCGGAGTAGAATGGAGGCGGCGGTGTTCGTCTTCTCTCTCCTTGACTGTTGCGCGCTTATCTTCCTCTCAGTGTACTTCGTATCCTTGCCTGAGACGGGCGGAGGCCGACCTGGGGCCCTCCACCCGAGGGAGCAGGCTGGGGGTGGGGCTGGGTGGGGGCCAGGGCAGGTGCGAGGGAGCAAGGCAGGCGGCCGGCGGCCGGCGCGGGTACCCTGGGCGCTGGCCCGGCCCGCCGGACCGATGTGGCGAGCCCGGGCGGGAGGAGGACCCCGGCTGCCCAACTTCGCTCCTCACCTGGGGGTCCGAGCGGGCCTTTCTCTTGAAGCGCCCCGGCCGGCCTGCCCGCCGCCGCTCGCCCCTGTGACGCCCGGACCCGCTCTGCCCTGCACGGGGGCTGGCACTTGGCCTCCCCTTGTGGTCCTCAGGAGAGAGGGGTCGCGGTTTTCCTCCTTTTGGGTCCTGGAGAGATCAGAGTTGTGGTTTTTCTTGCAGCTCCCTTGGGCCGGGCCCTTCGCCGGATGCTGGGGGTCCCGAGAACGACGGCTCACGTCCCAGGGGTGGTCGCTAGTGGTCTGTCCCGCGCTGAGCTCGGCGGAGGCGATTTGGCGCCTCTTGTCCTTCTCTGGGCAACACCCCCGCTGCCCTCCCCTTTGTTCTCGCGGGTGTTGGAACTTGTAGCGACCTTTCACATCCAGGAGTTGAGTCATTTCAAAAACGGGTGAAGTGTTTCCTTCGCGATGCCTTTTTGTAGGGAGCGTTGGGAAGGGTTTGTTTTAGAAACCAGCTGCAGCTGATTATTTCGGTTGCTCCCGTCGGTTGCAGACCTGTAAATTCAGTAACTATACACGTAATTTAGTTCTCAGTCGTTTATCAGCTTTTACACTTTTCTGTGTCGACCCATGTTTAAAACTTCGGCATTTTGTATCGCTGTTTCTGCTACAGTATTCATACTGTATTTTCCAGGCCAATAAATGGTCGTTGAACCTAGCACTCTAGAAGGCGTGTGGGCTACAACTCTACTCTCGAGGGAGCTTCTAAGTTGTCACCCAACGATGCAACGCACAATCCAATTTTAAGTAATTAAATGTAAGCGAAGAAAAAACATGAGAAGCTCTGCATTGTATTTTTTTCCCTTGGAAATTACATGTGTCCCTTTCTGACAGAATTAAACTTTTTGTTTGCCAGAGCATTCTGGCTTTAGGATGGTTGTACAGAGTATGTTTTCAGTGTGGCTTCATACTTTGTTATGGCCTGGCAACTTGTTGAAGTGGGATGGGACAAAACTTGGAATCAGGACTCCTTGCTCAGCTAGTTATTTGCTATGCACATTATTTCACCTCTCTAAGCCTCAGTTTTCTTATCTTTAAAATGGGGGAAAATGTTTACTTCCCAGATAGGTATGTGCACAATGAGGGCGTGTTAAGCACCTAGCAGCACAATGCCTACCCCATGGCCAATGTTTAGTAAATATTGCTCTGCCTTCCCTCCCTACTCCGCATTGAACAGCAGTTTTTACTTTAACTGATGATTTCTGACGAGGAGAACCCTGACTTTTATTAGGCTTGGCGAACTGACTGAAAGGGCAGCATCACTTAGGAAGTTTTGATGACCTACATCTCTCTTGTGGCATAAGGAACGGGAGCTTAAGTTCAGAGAAATGAAACTTGGATTTATTTTACTGCAGTTTAGAAAACTAGTCTTGATAATTTAAAATAGCCTTGGCTAGGGAATTTCCTGACGGTCCAGTGGTTAGGACTTGGTGCGCTCACTGCAGCGGGGCCCCGGGTTCCATCCCCGGTCAGGGAACTAAGATTCTGCAAGCCGGGCGGCACAGCCAAAAAATAAAAAAAGCCTTGGCTTATACCAGTTTATGTACATAGAAACATGTTAGGTGGAGTGTTGGACTTAGATATTAAGGTACATTCAGGATGTGTTTTGATGAAATTCAGCATATTATTGTATTTTGGGATAGTTGTACTAGCTTAATATTAGAGCCAAGAGGTGGAAAATCATCGGGTATACATTCTGTAGGGATAAGAGTTTTTCTGGACTTTGAACCAATAAGGAAACCTGCAGAGAAGGAAAGGGGTGGATATTCAAAATCAGACACAGGCAAGAGCAAAGGTGCAGAGAAAGGTGTGTTCATGGCATTTCTGGGTGATGGAGGAATAGGCCATCTGGAGCACAAGGTTGATTTTGGTGGCAGCAGGTCAGGTTTGGAAAGGCCAGATTAGATTAGATTTTGGAGGGTTTGAATGTTAAGGAGAGGAGGGCTTTCATTTTTATCCTCTAGGCAGTAGGGAGCCATTGAAAATTTTTGACATAAACAAAGTGGTGTATTATGAAGATAAGTCTGTAGAGTGGGTTGGAAACAGGAAAGATTGGAAGGTAAGAAACCATTAGGGAATGGGTTCATTTGGATCTGGAATGGGATACTAATTGTGGACAGGTGAAAGAGGAATTAATGTGAGTGGTGTTAAAAAGAAATGATTGATAGGACCAGGTAATGATTGATTCTGAGATATGAAACAGAAGGTAGAAATAACTTTCCATATTTTGAGCCTGGGCAAATGATGCTTGTGTCATTGACAGAAATAAAACAAACTGGAGGTGGAACAATTTGTGGAGAAAGTGATGCTTTTGACTTTGGCTGGGTTGAGGTGATGGGGGACTATCCATATGGAAATGTATAGAATTTAGTTGAGAACATTTCTTTTTACCTATTTTATTGGACATTTTCGAACATAAAGGTAGAGTAGTGTAATAAACCCCATTTTTCTATTGCTCACCTTCAGTGATGTTCAACATTTTGCCGTTCTTTTTCATTTTTTTCCCAACTATTGTGGGGAGGCTGGGGGTGCATTTTAAAGTAAATACCACACATTCAATTGAAGACTTTTTATGTCTATCTGTCCCTCACATTTTTATTTGTAAGTTTATATTTTGTACTAAAACCCATTTTTTGTTTTAGTCCAGTATAATATATGTTTACTGTGGAAAGTTTGGTTATAGAGAAAAATGTTGGGAAAACAAACCATCTGTAATCCAACTTTCAAGACATAACCACTGCTAGTATATGGCCAAGCTGAGTTTATAGTTTTGTATCCTTTTTCTTTTTCATATCTTAAGTCTTCAAAGACATTTTATGGATATATCATAAATAAACACTTTTTCTATTGGGAATTCAGGTTTATAACATTTAAACGGTTTATATAGGTCATATTTTCCGTTTCTTTTGGCCACTGTTTGACATTTGAGGAATCCAGCTTGAATGTTCTGGTATGGGTCACATTAGAATTGTGCGTAATAAGAGGATTATTTTGTGAAAATCACTTGCTGAAGGAACATAAATGAGAAAATTTAGTTGTCTAATAAATGAACTTTAAGGAAATAATCTTTTCAAGTCAAAAATCTAATTCTGCTTTGCAACTGGGATTGCTTTCTGAAACTTAAATAGTTGTTATAAAAGAAGTCTAATAATTCCTTATCTTGATTGTCAGATAATTACATTGTCTGATTTAGAATGTGATTACATTAATGCTAGATCATGTTGCTCAAAATTAAACAAGGTAAGACATTTCTTTCCTCATTTTCTGGCATTGAAGGCAGTTCTCCATTTTCTGTGTTAGAGATAATTACAGATAGTCAACATATGTGTATTTGATATTCATTGGAATGTTTGTGGAACTACTGTGCTTTGCAATATTTTTAGATCATGAAACTATACCAGAAGACCTAACTTGAAATTTTGTTTCTTTACTCTTTTTCCTTGTTGTCCCTTTGTCCACAATAGACAACATCATTACTCAGACTAGGTGAAGGTTCGTTATCAGTTAACTGTTTTTGTCTTCTGTGTCCAAACCCCCTCCTCCCTGCTCTTTGGGAAAAAGCTCAGTCTGTCTTTTGTTGAATGAAAGAGGACCTTTTTGTGGCTCCTAGAGAAATGGAATTAGTTGATTTGTTTTAAGGCCATTTTACCTTTAGTATGTAGTCGGAACTTTATATTGGCAATAAAACTCTGAATTTCCCAGCTCTTTTAGATATGGGGAAACCAGTGGGTCCTGATTCATTTTATGAGATGAGCAGACAGAAAAGTTTTCTGGATATAAAAGTTCATATAAAAATACAATAACTGAGAAGTGCTTTTTGGCTTGACCTAAAAATGATTCTCATGTGTCTTTTCACACCTTCGGTCTACTTAAGTTTCTTTGGCCCATGACGGAAATGAAGTTACACTTGGAAAATTAAAATTTCTAGTAAATTATATTCCTCCTCTCCTCTCCTTCCTTCCTTCCTCCTTCTCTCCCTCCCTCCTTCTCTCCCTCCCTCCCTTCCTTCCCAATTGTCCAGAACATGGTTTAATACAGTGATAGATTTAAATAAAAGATTTTGTTTATCTGCTATGCTTTCAGAGTTCTTTTTTTTTCTTGAGATATAATTGACATGCAACATTGCATTAGTTTCAGGCCTCCTCATCTTTATTTTATTTTTAATCTTTTAAAAATTGAAATTTAATTAATTTTAAACAAATTAAGTTCCTGCTGTGTGCCAGGCAGGGCCCTCTGCTTTTTTAAAAAATTGAAGTGTGGTTGATTAGGCCTCCTCATCTTTAGAAGAATGATTTTATACTGATAGATAGATCCATCTAATATATATATATTTTCAGATGGATTGTATTTCTTTTTATATTTCTTGCTTACTCAGTATTTTAGGTGGGTATTTTGTGGGTTTTCTTTTACAAAAATACAAATAAACACAAAAAAAGGTTACCTGGATTCTTCTATTGAGAAAGTTACTCCTTCAGTTTGAAGTTAAGTAGTTTTTTTAACGTTAATTTTTGTTTTTGTGAAAGTTATACTTGCATACAACTAAAGTCAGAGGTACTACAAAGCTTGTAGTGAAAAACAGCAGTTCCTTCCTGACCCTTTTAAATCCTATCTGTCTTGCTTCTTAGGGGCAACTGATTTCAACACTTGAGCTGTTAATTTTTTTCTGATATTTATATTCATATTTCTCTATATGCTTGCACTACTATTTCCTTTTCATTTTTTTTGGCCGTGGTGCGTGGCTTGCAGGATCTAAGTTCCCCAACCAGGGATTGAACCCAGGCCACGGCAGTGAATGCCCAGAATCGTAACCAGTAGGCCACCAGAGAACTCCCACTATTTCTTTTTTATAAATTTTTATTTATTTATCTATCTATTTATTTATTTATTTATGGCTGTGTTGCGTCTTCGTTGCTGTGTGTGGGCTTTCTCTAGTTGTGGCAAGCGGGGGCTACTCTTCGTTGCGGTGCACGGGCTTGTCATTGCGGTGGCTTCTCGTGCTCGGCTCTAGGCATGCGGGCTTCAGTAGTTGTGGCACGTGGGCTCAGTAGTTGTGGCTCACGGGCTCTAAAGTGCAGGCTCAGTAGTTGTGGCACACGGGCTTAGTTGCTCCGCGGCATGTGGGATCTTCCTGGACCAGGGCTTGAACCCATGTCCCCTGCATTGGCAGGTGGATTCTTAACCACTGCGCCAGCAGGGAAGTCCCTCTCACTATTTCTTGATTTATCAGTTTTACATATTACCTATTGACTTCTGAGTCAATATGGCAGATTTAGTTCTTAGGTACCCCCTTCTAAACATCTCTCCTATTTTTCCATTTTCTTTTTAAGTTTATATTCAATGTTTATATCATTATGATATACTATTATATTATATAAACATTTTTTATTGCCGAGCCTTATGGTAGACAGTGATCATATTTTTCTTTCTAATTTTTTTTTCTGCATAGCTTTGTCTTTTCAGATAACATCTTTAAAGCCCTTCAGTACTATTTTCTGCATGTTTCAAACATGCTAAAATAATCTGTCAGTTGTTTTTTTCTAGGTGACATTTCTCCTCAAGACCTACATCCTCTTGCTATAGTCTGGACTGGTTGCTCTTTAGGCCTGTTTCACAGCCTCCATCCTGGGACTCCTGGTTGGATCCCCTGATTCTTGGAAATCATGTCTTCCTTTCTCTTGGCTTACTACCTCGTTTTGTTGGAGTAGCTTCTTGAGATTTGGTACATGGGAATTAAATTTTGAGAACTTGCATGTTTGAAAATGTCTTATCCTTTCCCTTGATTGATAGGTTCTCTGAGTGTAGAATTCTAGGTTAGAAAAGATTTTTTTTCAGAGTTTGCTTGGTCAAGGTCTTTTAACTTCTAGTGTTGTTCAAGTTGGGAAGTCTGGTGCCATTTTGATTTCTTATCGTTTTGATGGGATCTCTCTCTTCCCTCTCCTCCCACCCCTACCTCCATCCTCTCCAGAAGTTTTAGAATCTTAACCTTTATCCTTGGTTGGGTTTATTTATGGTAATCCTTGGTGTTTGGGAATTTTGCAGTGGTATACCTTTGTTTAGGCCTTTTTCACTCATTGTTTTGGGCATCTGAGAGGTTCTTTCAATCTGGGAAATTTTCTTCTACTTCTTTCTTTGATAATATCTTCCCCTTCTATTTTCTCTCTTCTCTTTCAGCAACTTGGATTTGCTGGATAATTTATCTGCTGGATTGATCTCCCAGTTTTCTTTTTCTTATTTTTGTCCCTTTGGTTTTTTTCTACCTTCTTGTTTTAAGATTTCCTCTTGTTTTATCTTCTGAATTTTCTTGTATGTATATCATTTATGTCAAATTGTTAATTTCTAAGAGCTTTTTGTTCTCTTGGTTCATGCTTGACTCTCTTCGTTCTCAAGGATATTGATTATAGCAGTTTTGAAATTTCCTTCTGCTTCCTACATTATATCTGTTTTTTTCCAAGTTCCTTTCTCTTTGTTTTTCCCCCTTCTTTCATATTGAGGGCTTTCCTCAATTTCTGATACGTGGCTATCTAGTCATACTTTAGGGTAAGGCACGAAAATACTCGTTGGAAGCTCATTGGGTGGTCCAGGCTGTTGACTGACTGGTAGGTAAGACTTCACTGAGGGTAGTTGGTGGCTACCTTTTTTGGGGGTACCTGAAATAGCAGTTTTTTTGTAGGTGTTTTCTCTTGTGCCATTAAGTTACTCCAGAGAAGAATCTTTCAAACTCCTGCCTGGGTGAAATAAGCCTAGTGCTTCTTACCCCTAAGTTAGGGGAAGAACACATTATTAAGGAGGGAAGAGAAAGAGAACAGAGGGCTTGGTAGAAAGTTAGTATCCAAGTATAATAAGGTCAAGTATCGCTTCCTGAAACTTTTGTTTTAGGTTTTTGTTTATGTAAACCAAAATGCAGCCCACAGTAAGAAATCCAGAGTTTGAAAGCTACTTCTATGTGGGTCTGATAGCATGGAGGGAAGTAGTAGTAACATCAGCTAACATTTATTGAGTGCTTACTTTTTTTTTCTTTACATCTTTATTGGAGTATAATTGCTTTACAATGGTGCGTTAGTTTCTACTTTATAACAAAGTGAATCAGTTATACATATGTTCCCATATCTCTTCCCTCTTACGTCTCCCTCCCTCCCACCCTCCCTATCCCACCCCTCTAGGTGGTCACAAAGCACCGAGCTGACCTCCCTGTGCTATACGGCTGCCCCCTACTAGCTATCTATTTTATGTTTGGTAGTATATATATGTCCATGCCACTCTCTCGCTTTGTCACAGCTTACCCTTCCCCCTCCCCATATCCTCAAGTCCATTGTCTAGTAGGTCTGTGTCTTTATTCCTGTCTTACCCCTAGGTTCTTCATGACATTTTTTTTTTCTTAAATTCTATATATATGTGTTAGCATACGGTATTTGTCTTTCTCTTTCTGACTTACTTCACTCTGTATGACAGACTCTAGGTCCATCCACCTCATTACAAATAGCTCAATTTCGTTTCTTTTTATGGCTGAGCAATATTCCATTGTATCTATGTGCCACATCTTCTTTATCCATTCATCCGTTGATGGACACTTAGGTTGTTTCCGTCTCCGGGCTATTGTAAATAGAGCTGCAATGAACATTTTGGTATGTGACTCTTTTTGAATTATGGTTTTCTCAGGGTATATGCCCAGTAGTGGGATTGCTGGCTTATATGGTAGTTCTATTTTTAGTTTTTTAAGGAACCTCCATACTCTTCTCCATAGTGGCTGTACCAATTCACATTCCCACCAGCATTTCCACTAAGATCAGGAACAAGACAAGGTTGCCCACTCTCAACACTCTTATTCAACATAGTTTTGGAAGTTTTAGCCACAGCAATCAGAGAAGAAAAAGAAATAAAAGGAATCCAAATTGGAAAAGAAGAAGTAAAGCTGTCACTGTTTGCAGATGACATGATACTATACATAGAGAATCCTAAAGATGCTACCAGAAAACTACTAGAGCTAATCAATGAATTTGGTAAAGTAACAGGATACAAAATTAATGCACAGAAATCTCTGGCATTCCTATACACTAATGATGAAAAATCTGAAAGTGAAATCAACAAAACACTCCCATTTACCATTGCAACAAAAAGAATAAAATACCTAGGAATAAACCTACCTAAGGAGACAAAAGACCTGTATGCAGAAAACTATAAGACGCTGATGAAAGAAATTAAAGATGATACAAACAGATGGAGAGATGTACCATGTTCTTGGATTGGAAGAATCAACATTGTGAAAATGACTCTACTACCCAAAGCAATCTACAGTTTCAATGCAATCCCTATCAAACTACCACTGGCATTTTTTCACAGAACTAGAACAAAAAATGTCAGTTTGTATGGAAACACAAAAGACCCCCGAATAGCCAAAGCAATCTTGAGAATGAAAAACGGAGTTGGAGGAGTCAGGCTCCCTGACTTCAGACTATACTACAAAGCTACAGTAATCAAGACAGTATGGTGCTGGCACAAAAACAGAAAGATAGATCAATGGAACAGGATAGAAAGCCCAGAGATAAACCCACACACATATGGTCACCTTATCTTTGGTAAACGAGGCAGGAATGTACAGTGGAGAAAGGACAGCCTCTTCAATAAGTGGTGCTGGGAAAACTGGACAGGTACATGTAAAAGTACGCGATTAGATCACTCCCTAACACCATACACAAAAATAAGCTCAAAATGGATTAAAGACCTAAATGTAAGGTCAGAAACTATCAAACTCTTAGAGGAAAACATAGGCAGAACACTCTATGACATAAATCACAGCAAGATCCTTTTTGACCCACCTCCTAGAGAAATGGAAAGAAAAACAAAAATAAACAAATGGGACCTAATGAAACTTCAAAGCTTTTGCACAGCAGAGGAAACCATAAACAAGACGAAAAGACAACCCTCAGAATGGGAACAAGTATTTGCAAATGAAGCAACTGACAAAGGATTAATCTCTAAAATTTACAAGCGGCTCATGCAGCTCAATATCAAAAAAACAAACAACCCAATCCAAAAATGGCCAGAAGGCCTAAATAGACATTTCTCCAAAGAAGATATACAGACTGCCAACAAACACATGAAAGAATGCTCAACATCATTAATCATTAGAGAAATGCACATCAAAACTACAATGAGATATCATCTCACACCAGTCAGAATGGCCATCATCAAAAAATCTACAAACAATAAATGCTGGAGACTGGTGTGGAGAAAAGGGAACACTCTTGCAGTGCTGGTGGGAATGTGAATTGAGTGCTTACTTTGTGTGTGGCTTACATATATTATTTTGTCTAATTCTCTAAAACAACCTCATGAGGTGTAAGTATTATCTCCATTTTACAGATGAGAAAATCATGATTTAGAGAGGGTAGATAACTGCCTAAAATTGCACAGCTAATAAATAGGATAGAGCATGAGTTTTACTCCAGGTTTATCTGATTTTGCAGCTTACACATATTAGCATTATGTTAAATTGGTTACACTTTAAAAATGCATTTACATATTTAAAAACGTTTTGGTTGATTGCAAATTAGGTTTAAGACCCTTCCTCTTTGTTTATTAAGAAAAAGTGGGATATCCCTGGTGGTGCAGTGGTTGAGAATCCATCTGCCAATGCAGGGGACATGGGTTTGAGCCCTTGTCTGGGAAGATCCCACATGCTGCAGAGCAACTAAGCCCATGCACCACAACTACTGAGCCTGAGCGCCAGAGCCCGCAAGCCACAACTACTGAAGCCTAGAGCCTGTGCTCTGCAACAAGAGAAGCCACCCCAATGAGAAGCCCGCGCACTGCAATGAAGAGTAGCCCCTGCTCGCCGCAACTAGAGAAAGCCCACACACAGCAACAAAGACCCAATGCAGCCAAAAGAAAGTATCTAAGGGAATTTCCTGGTGGTCCAGTGGTTAGGATTCCGTGCTTTCACTGCCCAGGGCGTGGGTTCAGTCCCTGGTTGGGGAACTAAGATCCTGCAGGCCTCGCAGAGTGACACCCTCCCCCCCAGGAAAAAAGAAAAACTGTATCTGAAATCTAAATGCAAGAGACCTGGGGCCAGTGTGTCTGGGCTTCTGTTATATAGCTCTGCCACTAAGTAGCTGTGTGACCTTGGGCAAGTTACTTAATCTCTCTTGAATTTTATTTTCCTCATTTCTATAAGTTGGGAGTGCCAGTTTGTGGCTCAATAAATACTAGCTATTAACTTCCATTAAGAGAAAAATCTCTACTCATAGGAGAGGAAAACTATCGGTGAATTGAGAACCTGCCACAATAGCTGTTGATATATGAGAACTAGAATATTGCACAATAAACAAAGAACATAGATAAGGGCACTGGGTGCTATAAAGCAAATAGTCTGGGATTCTGTTATCCTGGTCCATTATCATATTTGTTTAACTTTGAGCTGATATTGTAAGCTGTTAAAGTACTTTTTTTTTTTTTTTTTTTTTTTTGCGGTACGCGGGCCTCTCACTGTTGTGGCCTCTCCCGTTGCGGAGCACAGGCTCCGGACACGCAGGCTCAGCGGCCATGGCTCATGGGCCCAGCCGCTCCGCAGCATGTGGGATCTTCCCGGACCGGGGCACGAACCCATGCCCCCTGCATCAGTAGGCGGACTTTCAACCACTGTGCCACCAGGGAAGCCCTAAAGTACTTTTTTTTTTGGTGGATGTGAGGTGATTTCCCCCAGGGTTCTGGAGCTTGGAAACGTTAGAATCGGTATTCTGACCTGAAAGGCAGCATGTATGTGGATATAAACCATCCCAAATTAGAGTAAGAGGCTTTAGCACAGATATTGGAATAGAAAGTAAATAATACTCTATTTTTTCTCTAGTTGTCATTTGTACCTGCTTAGAGAATGAATCTGAATCTTTACTTAGGGTAAAATGTAATTAAAGACTAAGTGCATTATTTTTAAGCTGTGTCCTGATTTATTTGCACTGGGTAAGCAGTGATAGCAGTATGCAAATCTGGGACATCCGAGCCTAAAAATAATCTTGAAACACTAGCTTGGAAATTCTCTGTACTTTCTTTGATTTAATTTCAAGTAACATGTACATTCTGGAAGGACACAGCAGTGAGATGTAATACTGTGTTCTTCCCTTGCAGTGGGTAATTCCAGAATTGGTTGGCCATACTATTGTCACTGTATTAATGCTCATTTCATTGCACTGGTTCATCTTCCTTCTCAACTTGCCTGTTGCCACTTGGAATATATATCGGTGAGTACAGTTTGTTTATTTATACATATGAGTACTGGTAGCATAAAGTTCACCCATTTAAACTATACTATCCAATATGTTTTTGGTATATTTATAGATGTAAGCAACCATCACCACAACGTATTTAAGAACATTTTCATCACCCCCAAAAGAAGCCCTATGTCCTTTAGAAGTCACTCCCCTCCCCCAGCTCTAGGCAATTGCTAGTCTCCTTTCTGTCTTTGTAAAATAACCTGTTCTGGACAGACATACCATTTAAAAGAGATCAATATGTGATCTTTTATGGCTTCTTTCACTTAGCATAACATTTTCAGGGTTCATCCATGCCGTGTCATGTATCAGTACTTTATTCCTTTTTATTGTGGAATAATATTCCATTGTATGGCAATACTACATTTTGTTTATCCATTTGCAATTGATGGGCATTTGAGTTGTTTCCACTTTTTGCCTATTATAAATAATTCTACTGTGAACATTCATGTGCATATTTTTTCATTAAAATTATTCTTTTAATTTACCAAAATGCAGTGTAATCATGTGTCTTTTTTTTATTATTAACATCTTTATAGGAGTATAATTGCTCTACAATGGTGTGTTAGTTTCTGCTTTATAACAAAGTGAATCAGCCATACATATACATATATCCCCATATCTCCTCCCTCTTGCGTCTCCCTCCCACCCTCCCTATCCCACCCCTCTAGGTGGACACAAAGCACCGAGCTCATCTCCCTGTGCTATACGGCTGCTTCCCACTAGCTATCTATTTTACATTTGGTAGTGTATATATGTCAATGCCACTCTCTCACTTCATCCCAGCTTACCCTTCGCCCTCCCCATGTCCTCAAGTCCATTCTCTACGTCTGCGTCTTTATTCCTGTCCTGCCCCTGGGTTCTTCAGAACCATTTTTTTTCTTTCTTAAGATTCCATATATATGTGTTAGCATATGGTATTTCTTTTTCTCTTTCTGACTTACTTTGCTCTATGACAGACTCTAGGTCCATCCACCTCATAACAAATAACTCAGTTTTGTTTCTTTTTATGGTTGAGTAATATTCCATTGTATATATGTGCCACATCTTCTTTATCCATTCATCTGTTGATGGACACTTAGGTTGCTTCCATGTCCTGGCTATTGTAAATAGAGCTGCAATGAACATTGTGGTACATGACTCTTTTTGAATTATGGTTTTCTCAGGGTATATGCCCAGTGGTGGGATTGCTGGGTCATATGGTAGTTCTATTTTTAGTTTTTTAAGGAACCTCCATACTGTTCTCCATAGTGGCTGTATCAATTTACATTCCCACCAACAGTGCAAGAGGGTTCCCTTTTCTCCACACCCTCTCCAGCATTTATTGTTCGTAGATTTTTTGATGAAGGCCGTTCTGACCGGTGTGAGGTGATATCTCATTGTAGTTTTGCTTTGCATTTCTCTAATGATTAGTGATGTTGAGCATCCTTTCACGTTCATGTGCATATTTTTGTGTGGACATATACTTTCATTTCTTTTAGGAGTGGAATTGCTGGGTCATATGGTAACTCTATGGTTTGACCTTTTGAGGAACTACCTGAGTGTTCAAAAGCAGCTGCACTATTTTACGTTCCCACCAACTGTGTATGAAGGTTACAGTTTCTCCACATCCCTGCCAACACTTTTTGTTGTGTCTTTTTTATTTTAGCTGTCTGATTGAATGTGAAGTGGTATCTCATTGTGGTTTCGATTTACATTCCCTAGTGACTAATGATGTTGAGTACTTTTTAATGTGCTTATTAGCCATTCATATATCTTCCTTGCTCTATATGTTTTTAATTAATTTCTTTTTTATTGAATTATAGTTCATGTACAATATTATATGTTCAGGTGTACAGTATGGTGATTCACAATTTTTAGAGGTTATACTCCATTTATAGCTATTATAGAATATTGGTTATATTCTGTGTTGTACAGTATATCCTTGTAGCTTATTTTATACATTTGCTGCGTATGTTTTTGATTAGCTAAGTTGGCATGATATAAATTATGCTTTGGGAAGATTTTTCTGGAAGCATTATATAGTATTGATTGGATGGAAAAGAGGCAGGAGGTAGTTCAGAGACGGGGGTGAGATAATATAGTACTGGAATAGAGTTGTGATAGTGGGAATGAAAAAGATAGGGCTAGGGCTTCCCTGGTGGCGCAGTGGTTGAGAGTCCACCTGCCAATGCAGGGGACACGGGTTCGTGCCCCGGTCCGGGAAGATCCCACATGCCGCGGAGCGGCTGGGCTCGTGAACCATGGCCACTGAGCCTGCGCGTCCGGAGCCTGTGCTCCGCAAAGGGAGAGGCCACAACAGTGAGAGGCCCGCGTACCAAAAAAAACAAGATAGGGCTATATAAGTGGTGATAGGAAGGAAGAGTGGACAAGAGTTTAACCTATTGCCTATGAAAGATGAAGAGAGAAGTCAGAATTGAGTCAGAAAAAGCTTTTAAGGACTACTGAGGAAGTGGTGACACTCCTGTTAGATAAGCTAGCAGTCAGAGAAGGATAAGACTCTTTGAGACTACAGATGGTCCTCGATTTACAATAGTTTGACTTTTGATTTTTCGACTTCATGATGGTGTGAAAATGATACACATTTCAGTATAAACCGTATTTCGAATTTTGAATTTTGATCTGTTTCTGGACTAGCGATATGCGGTATGAAACTCTCTTGTAATGTTATAAAATAGGCTTTGTATTAGACGATTTTGCCCAACTGTAGGCTAATGTAAGTGTTCTGAGCATGTTTAAGGTAGGCTAGGCTAAGCTGTGATGTTCGGTAGGTTAGGTGTATTAATTGCATTTTCAATTTTTGATGGGTTTATCATGATATAATACCATTGTAAATCGAGGAAAATAGGTATTGAGTTGAGATGCTATCCAGATATTCGTTTGTAAATACCATATATACCATTTATTCAGCCATAGATGGGCTACTAGGATTTGGGGGAGAATTTAGATTTGTGAAACTCAGAGAGCCATTTGCATTTCACAGAAGTCATAATTGAGAAACCAAATGTGTGGCGAGAGTGAGGAACCAAGGTTGGACTAGAGAAGCTTGGACATGAGAGAAGGAAGAGGTCATGATCAGTGCTAGATTAGGACATGCATGCTGTGCAGATGGCACAGTTGGGATGCAGAAGCGTAGACGCTTAAACTCACTGATCCTCTCAAAGTAACCCAATTTTCTTATTTGTAAAAGGAATCATTTGGGGAAGAAGGAGAAGATTATCATATGTAATACTATATACACAGTGGTATTTAATAAATATGAAACGTTATGTGTTATCTCAAGAGGCCCAAAGACTCCATAGCGTGTTAAACACAGTATCTTCAAGATTTTTTTTTTAAGTTTGAGTCTGAGTCTGTGGGAGCACTGAGTTGAATTGGTCTGGATTTGGAACTCAGTGTGTGCTTACTGTGCCCTTTAGGTTCCGTATTGACTTTGTAGCCCTGTTCTCATTCCCTCACTGTGGTCATACCTCCATCACTATAAAATGTACATCTCTTATTTGTCAAAATATTATTATTTTATTTAATATTTACATAAAAATTAATTTAAAATAAAATTTATATTTTAATTAAATGTAATCTGTACTTTTTAAGAGTCATGTAAAGTTAGGCACTGCGTTTGCATCTGAACTCTACATTTATTGTCTTAACTGAAGAGTTTTATTTTACCACAGTAGCATTTATTCTGAATCATTTCTGTCTTCTTTAAATTGCTCTTCTCAAGTAGGTACCGTTTATTAGCCATGCAGATTGAGACATATCTGTTGATCAGCAGGAGCACCAAAGATGAGGATTCTATTTGGGATATAGAGTCTCTCTTTTTAGTATCATCTGTGAAATGGGAATAATTATGTTTGACACAAAGATGTAAGTGTTAAACATAAAGACAACTTGCAGAGATGTTGTGAAGGTGAAGGGAATTGCATTAATTAAGTTAGAACCTGGTAGATAAAGAAATTTCTAAGAACTTGATAAAGTTGGTTTGGTTTTGGGGCCCCCTTCATTTGTGTCTCATGGAAGACAGCTATAGGTATTACCGATTCAGTAGTTTTCTACAGAAGATGGGTAAAAGGGTCTCAGTGCATAAAATACCCTTCTCTAGAGTGTTAATGTATTTGTTTCAGAGGGCAGAAATTACACCTAAAATTAATAGTATTGTATTTTCAAAGGAAGACTAAGGCATGGCCTGTGACATCATTATAATACCTTGTCCATATTTGGTCATATAAGGCTGCTATGATTGGTTCATTTTTGAAGGTTGATTATTACTGGTTTACTTATTTTTGAATATTTATGCTGATGATTTGATTTTCCTTCTAATGTGTGTGCATCCTTTAATTTACCAGGTTCGTTATGGTGCCAAGTGGTAACATGGGAGTGTTTGATCCAACAGAAATACACAATCGAGGGCAGCTGAAGTCACACATGAAAGAAGCCATGATCAAGCTTGGTTTCCACCTGCTCTGTTTCTTCATGTATCTTTATAGGTGAGTTTACAGTCCTGGCATTTTCCTGGATGCCATATGCTTTTGACCGGTAAGGTATTACTATACTGTAGGATTTTGTATTAACATTGCAGAGCTTTTGGGGATTATGTGAATTTCTTGTGGCTGTGTAGATTTTTTATGTCATGTCATTGAATCAGGATTCCATTCTGTCTGACCTGGAGTAGAGTTACTCCATGTTATTAGTTATTCCTTAGCTGTTGAGGCTATCAACATGCTTAAAACTGTCTTTGCCGTTCTTTCCCTCCCCTGGTATCCAGCTGTGAGGTCTCACTGCCTGTTATAAACATTACTATATGTACCCCCAGAGAGTTTCCCACTCCTGGGTCTTCTGGGGACCAGAGCACTGGCAGCAGCTCTCAACAACTTATATCCACGTTGGGCTGATCTTTCTTGGCATTAAGGAATTTAGGTGTGATGCCTTTTCTCCGGGATGCAAGTGGTCTGTTCGGGTAAAATTTCATCAGTCTTCCAGTTAGATTGGAAGTAAGAATTAATATGAAGGATTGGCTATCAGACACTGGAAGCCTCATGCAGTCCTGTTTAAACTTATATTTATTACCTTAAGTTTTAGAGATAACATGCCACCTTTTCCTTTACCCATTATAGACCCATAGAATACAGCAAAGAGAAAAAAATTGTCATGTGTGTATGATTTGATTAAGCCTTTAAGAGGCTAAAAGTCAAGCTTTTGTATCCAAGCTTACTTGTATCATTCCTGTTTTTTTCTGAGGTAAATTTTAAGTTTCACATGGGCATAAGACTAGTAGGAAAAAACTTGTACTGAACTAGACTTCTGTCACTCAAAAAAGTCCTAATAATTAGAAACTGTACAAAGATAAGAGTTTTAAAAAACTGCTATTTTGTCTGAAATAGCTTAGAAGTCAGAGTCATTTTAGCCTCTGCCTGAAAAAGCAGGCTTCCTAAAATCCTTTTGCTATGCTAATTCCACCCACAGATTAGATTGAAATTAGAGTTTAGGTGGTTTCCTTTTTACTATTTATTATATTTGCTTTTCTGTATTTTAAAAAATAGGACAGAAAAACCACACTAATAACATTTCTGGTTCTCATACCTCATTGCTAACGTGCTTAATTTTTAATCCTAGCATTAAAGATGGAGAATAAAGAGCAAAATTTAACATTAAGAATACAATGATACACCTTTCTTCTTCTTATTATTATTTTTTTGTGGTACGCGGGCCTCTCACTGTTGTGGCCTCTCCCTTTGCAGAGCACAGGCTCCGGACGCGCAGGCTCAGTGGCCGTGGCTCACGAGCCCAGCCGCTCTGCGGCATGTGGGATCTTCCCAGACCGGGGCACGAACCCGTGTCCCCTGCATCGGCAGGCGGACTCCCAACCACTGCGCCAGCAGGGAAGCCCTATTCTTATTTTTATTACTTTTTAAAGTCAAACCATATGAAGGTATCTTTACCATCATATATGTTCCCTTCTATTTGTCAGAGACAAAAAGCAAGGTGGTTATCCTTTCTTCATCCTTCTCTCCCCTCCAGGTTTTATGCTTTGGAGAGTAAACTAGAGTGGACAACCCCTAGGTCTTGATAACATGAGCTTCTTGAGACATCTGGGAGCAAAGCTAATGTAGTCACACTTTTGGGTGTAAATGTAGGATTAGGGAGCAGCATCTTGCTTAGTAAGACCCAAAGTCTTAGGATTTAAAAATGGACAAGAGTTTCTTACCTCTCAGTTGTTGAATTTAAAGCAGTGGGAAGATGGACTGAAGACTGGGGACTGGAGGAATCAGGAAGCAATTTTGGGGCAGGTTTAAGGTATGGTTCTTTACAATGAAATAAAAGATAGGCAACCAGTATAACTGGTTTGCCTGAGTAGCTGCATTGCTCACTGGATGCATCCTTTCTTTTTCTTTCTTTTCCCTTCCCTTCTCAGCTTGTCATTTTTAGCCATGTTGCTATTTCCTTCCCCCTTGGCGTTCCTTGTAGCTCAAGGGATCAGGATGGAAGAGTAATCGCAGATGTTCTTGTAACACTTTTCTCTTAGCTTTGGTTGCTGTTTTTAAAAAGTGTTTACTATTCTAAATCATCCGATTTCTAATGTAGGGATTTATGCTGCTCCTTCTGTATCGCCTGCCACCACTTGCATGGTGCCTTGCACATAGCAGACATTCAGCGTTTGTTAAATAGAATTAAAGGAAAAGATTCCCATCTTCTTTAGAGATTGGTGGAATCTATGCCTTTGGTGTTTGGTTAGGTGCCAGCCTGGTGTAATCTACCACTCCCTCACTGTGTGACCTGGGGCAAGTTTCTTATCCTCTCTGTGCCTCAATTTCTTCATCTGAAAATGGGATAATAATAGTACCTGCCTCATGGGCTTGTGATGTGGATTAAATGAGATAATGCATATAAAGCACTTTGGTTTGTGCTGACCTCTTGTAAGCTCTAACAAAGTGTTCAAAAATATTGGTTACTACCATTAATTTGTGCTGTGCACTGTGTACCCTTAGTTTGTTTAAATTTGGACAACGCATCACTTATACCATTAGTAGTGTAAGGGTATTTCTGTGTTTTAGTCATTTGCTCTCAGCATAGCAAGGCTGATTTCAGTAAAAAAATGATAGTCTTGTTACTCTTGTTAAGTGTGGTGGTTTTAACAGAGTATTTACTGAGTGACCGCCATGTGTCAAAGACATTGTGTAAGGCACTGCGTGTGACACAAAAGGAGCAGCGCAGAATCCCTGTGTCAAAGCTGGGAGCCTGCTGATTGCAGCACGCGGGTGTCATCCTGGAGAATGAAAGTGGGTATGAGCTGAGGTGTGCAGGAAGAGGCAGGGCAACGGCCCTGGGCCGAGAGGCTGGCTTCCCAGAGGCCGTGCTGGAGCCTGATGGAGCCTGCCGGATCCTGAAGTCTGAGAGGAAGTTACTGGGTTGATGGGGGATGAGAGGAGGGGTTCCAGGGGCAGGAACAACATGTGCGAAGATCTCCATGGAGAATTAAAGTTTTTTCCTAGACACAGCTTGTTTTCTCTAAGCTAGAGCCCAGCAGTGCTTTTAGGTTATGCTCCCTACCACCACCTCTACCCCGGTTTTCTTTCTTTCTTTTTTTTTTTCTTTTAGTGAAAACGTTAGGGCCTTTTGATGTCCTAATATAGATATTCTTTCCTTTAGGTGTAAATGATTGCTTTTGCTTTTTACTTAAGTGAGTGTTCCTTGCTGAGCCTTAGGGATGCAAGTCTGGACAGACCAGACTCTGTAGGAACATTCCTAAGGAAACATTAGTAACATTAATTTCTTCTCTCCACAGTATGATTTTAGCTTTGATAAATGACTGAAGCTGGAGAAGCCGTAGTTGAAGTCAGCCCACACTACAGTGCACAGTTGAGGAGCCAGAGACGACTTAAATCATCCTTAGAACCATGACCATAGCAGTATATTTTTTCCTCTTTGAACAAAAAATATTTTTGCTGTATTTTTACCATATAAAGTATTTAAAAAACATGAATTGAGTTTTTGTAGCGTTCTGGTTCTCAACTTTAGCCTGCACCCCAACGTGTGAAGGTGTTTTTCATCATCTGTATGTTGAAGATAGTTATCTGTGTGTAGGAACAGGACTGTCATGCCAGCCTTGCATGCCAAAGAAACAGAGGACACGCTTTAAAGGGAAAATGTAATAGGTGAGCAAAGTGGCTCTTCAGGTCTACTGAGAAGTCAGAGTACAAAGCGATACTGTTAGTCTGGGCAAAGGAAGAAAGAAACTAAACTACCCTTTTGTCTATATTGCGGCAGCTTCCTGTATTTAATATGGTTTACAGATTTATGGGACTGTAAGCCAATGTCTTTTCACAAGAATGTTAACAGAAAATGACATTTCAAAAAATATATATTTCTTTGCTGAATTTGTGAACCCTTATAAGCCATTACACATACGATGTAATTCCTGCTTATAGAAAGGAAAATAAACCAAAAAAGCAAAACTTTATCAAGAGCTTTCATTTAAAAGCCGCTGCCTCCACGATCGCCCTCAAACCCATATACTCCCACTGGCCCTTGCTACGTCTTGGTTTTGCATTCTCATTGGTCCAGTTGTATTTGATCTGTCCGATATATTTTTTAATGGGTTTGGAGAGGTGATTTGGTAGAAGATGCCCATCAGATCAGAAGCAGGGGTAGCCAGTCATTCGGTGTCGGTGAAACTGAGCCTGTCAGCGCTCTGCTTGGGGCCTGATTAACCGTAGCACTCCTGTCCTGCTGCGCTGACCACTGTCCATTTCATGGACATAGCAGTATCCGGCCAGACTTGACTCCTTGGAGGTATATTTGTCCATTCTTGCAGTTGTTGAGGGCACGTAACCTCTTGGGCTCTGTTTGCTGGGTGAAGTGAACCTGGCAGTATATTCTCAGTGCTCGTTTGTGTTTTAATGTGGCCATCTTCGGCGCTGGCATTTAGGCAAAACGTGGCTGCGTTTTATGGCAGAGTCCAAAGAGGTTATTCACTCTGTTGAGGCAGAATTGGATAGTCACATAAGGTGTGTGGTCACCAAATATCAAATGTTGCATGTCCTTTCGGCCCTGGACTGGGTCTAGCCTTGGCAGAAGCCGGAGAGGCACTAAGCAAAACTCCCTATATGGATAGACCCACATTTTGAGGATGGTGGTATACCCTGGCCACACTTGAAAGGAAGGGTGAAATGGTAGGCAAAGTAAACTTGGTTCTGTTGGCCTCTTTCGAGCTTCAAAAATTGCTCCTTGGGGGTATCTTGTATTTCTTCCAGGCAAAGAGCCAAGAAGCTGTAACATAGAAGTTAGTTTGATGCATCTCTCTTACCCTTTCCTTCTTAGGCACCTTCCTCTATTTAAAAAAAGAAAAACAGTCACTTAACTCTGACTTTATCCTTAACTTCCAGTGCCTCTAAATGTTCTGCTCAAGCTTTGAAAGCAATGAAGCTGTTGGAGAACTTAAATCCTTAGAACTGAGAGATAAACAAGCTACTTCAGGAAGCTCAAAGGTGGTGGAGGACTGTTGACCAAAATGTTTTATCTTCTCATTCTTCTTTTTTTAAAAAATTGAAATTTTCACAATATTGTGTTAGTTTCAGATGTATAGCATAGTGATTCAATTATTTTTTTCAGATTATATTCCATTATAGGTTATTACAAGGTCTGGAATATACAAGTATTCTTAGTAACCAAAATAGAAACCTGTGTAGTTGAGAGCATCTGGCTGTCAGTTTACATACCATCAGGCACGTATGTTGGTGAGGCTGAGCAGATCAGAAAGGTGCCTTGTTTATAACGAAAGACAGGAGCTCTTTACTTCTGAAACATTAACCGTGGTTAAAAACAAAACCACCTTTCTTGTATTGCTTGTCTGTAATCAAAGGCAGGAAAGGGGGTAACTCTAGTTTTTTGTTTGGATTTTTTAGGGGCCCTTCTACAAATTATGAAAAGAGGGAAAAAGCACTGACTTTAAAAGCTGTGGTTAAGATGCTGAAGATTAATTTTCTGTGCTTTTAACTGATTGGAGAGTTGCAGAGACCCTTAGAGATCATTTGGTCTAACTTCATCTTAGACATCTGGAGTCCTCCTGGCTAGTCCAGTGTTCTCTCCCTTATCACTTCTCGTCCCTGTCCATCTGTGAAGGTAGTACCCTGGGCCCAGCCAGTGCAGACTACCATGGCAGGCTCCTGGATGCAGAATATTTTTATCTGTGTATTCTGTCATTTTCCTTTGACCTTTTCCTTCCATCCCTTCAGTGGTTAGCAGGTGCGCTTGCTAATCACTGGACTCAGCTGAGAGAGCCGAGGAAGAAAGATCTAAGGTGCAGCTTGGTTCATCAAAGCCTGACAGCCACCTTTTCATGCCACACAGATGACAATGGAATAATAATCGAAATCTGCTTCCTCTCATCTGAGCTTACTTTGAATTTGGGGGATAAGAAAGCTCCCCATGGAACTTTTTCTTCTGTGGCACTTAACCACTTTCTATCTGGTGTTACGGTTATTTGTATGCAGTTAATCTCTCCTACTAGACTGTACACTCCTGGAGGGCAGAGTATCCTCTTATTCATATTTGTATCATTTTCCTATTGCTCCTGGCACCTAACGCAGTCCATGCCTTGCACACGGAAACAATAAATGATTGTTGAATGGATACATAAATCTGATTGTGTTGTTCTATTGCTCTTTCAGCATGAAGTCTGACTAATGTCCTTTACATCAGGGAAGTAAGAAGCAATGGAGCAACATAATCAAAGTCTACCATCTGTTTTCAAGGCAGTCACATTATGGAATGTTCTAAGACATGCTAGGTTAGGAAAGGAAACCGCTGTATTTGGTGTACTGGAGGCTTGTGAAGTCAGTTTTACTCACAAGTAATATTTTGTCAGAAGTAATTGTGATGAAAAGTATTATGTACTAGGTATAATTAATTACCCCCCGCATGTAAGTAAAATTGTTCTAATACATGGAAACAGGCAGCAAGATAGAGAAGGGAAGTCTTGAAATTCTGTGCCTGTTATCTAGATTGCTGCCACCTGAATTTGTGTACTTTAAAGCCAAAAATACTATTTTGCAATGTAGTGTAACAAAGATTGAAATATTTTTGGTGTAGTGAAACTACAGTTAATAAGGCTGTTCAAAGAATGGGCTGTTCTATCTGAGCATTTGTCAGTGAAGCCTTTTGGTTTTAAGCCATGCTTACCGTGAAAATTGTACAAGGTAGTAGTCAAATTGTTCTGCTCTAAATATAATCTAAGGACTGAGGGTCATTCAGAGCCTTAGGGTTGGCATTGTGAACCACAGTAATCACAGTAATAATCACTGTCAGGACATAGATGTTAAAGGGATTGATCACTAAGAGCTCAAGTTGCTCTTTAGAATAAATTCCTTGATAAAAGCTGTTTTTGTTTTCAGTGGCTTCCCTCTGAGGCTGGGTGAGGAGTGGGTGGTGGGTGAGTGGTCAGAATCAGCTAGCTGGGAGCTCAGAGGTTTGACCGTGGCTTCCCCTGCTGTGTATTTGGTTTGCTACATCCGTTATGGAACAGTCTTGGTGTCACCTGTATTAGTTCCCATTCAACATTAGCGCATAGTCAGAATGTGAGTCAGTCGAACAAATACTGAAATTGCTGTTCTCCAGTGGAGCACCTTGTGTGTAGATGTTGAGAGGACTAGTAGAGGTGCGGAGTTATACACTGCTATACCATCACTCTCCAGCCATCTCTCTGATTCCCGGTTCCCTTCTAAGCACCCGGTGCGTTGTCAGAATCCCCACTTTGTTATTTGTCCAGGGGACTTGGTTCATCTTCAATCTGCTATTCTAAGTACCATATATTCTTTGGGCAAGAGGCTGGCACTTGAACAAGGAAGGAGCTTGAATCCTCCGTCTGGTTTCACAGCTCAATTCGTTCAAATTGATAATCTCTGAAGGAGAGGATGGAAGTGGAATCAAGTTGTAGAGCCTGATCTTATCACTTTATCTGATCAGCAGCCTATTTCACAGGTTGGATGCAAAGCAGGCGAGGGTTGAACTTGACAGCTCAATTAAAAAGCAACAAGTTTGGCTGCCACTGCATCTACTGTATCAGGGTGACCTGCAGGGCAAGGCTAGCTTCTGGTGTAGCTGTGTATAAAGATACTAACTTTTTGGAAGACAATAACAGGACTAATCCGTGTCAGTTGGTAATCTATTTTACCAGTTACAATAATCAAACTTACGGGCATTCTTGTTTTATCTATAACCTACTACCTTCCCTCCCCCACACTATTTTGAAGCCAATACCAGACATCAGTACATATGTAGTATTTCTACGCATATCTCTGTAAGATAAGGGTTCTTAAAACACGCACACAGTCCCAGCATCATACATAAATTGGTAATTACTTAGTACTAAATATACAATGGGTGCTCCAATTTCCCCCATTGGCTCAAGGTTTACAGTCGTTTTGTTCACATTGGGATTCAGCAAAGATCTGTACATTTCATTTGGTTAATGTCCTTAAGTCTCTTAATCTACTAAATTCCCTATTATTTTCCTTGCAATTTGTTGAAGAAACTGTTTCACTGGACATAGCAATCATTTGTTGTGTAGAACCTCCAGTATTCTGGCTTTTGCTGACTGCCATAAACTCTTAAAAAAAAAGTCGTTTGTGATTTTACTATGTGCATTCTCACCCATCACAATGCTGTCTGGTAAGAAGATACTGTTAGCTTCTTTCATAGATGAGGGAACTCTGACAGATAAGTAATTTGTCTAAAGTGACACACCAAGTGATAGGATTTATATTTAAATCCAAACCCACTACTTTATAAAACAATTTAAAGACATTCAAATTTATTGTGGAGGTTTTCTTCTATGAAACTTCATGAGTCTGTTTTATTGATTGCTTTAATTGTATGGAGAAAAATCTGTATAAGTTCAAGTGTCATTTTCTTCTATGAACTACACAGTTAACTAGAATCAGTAAAGAAGTGTGCCCTTAAATGTTTTACCTATCTTTGACAAGTTTTTAACAGTCAATTTTTAATCTAGGGTGTAAGTGGCCATCTACAGACCAAGGGAGGTTTGTGTGCAGTGGCTAATAGCATAAGCTCAGGGGCACCTGGCTTAGAATCCCAGCTCCTTCATACCAGTTAATTTATTTAAGCCTACTTTCCCTCATTTGTAAAATGGAAATTAGAGTATTTGCCCCATGAAGGTACCTTGAGAATTAAATGAGAATGGAATGAGTGGCTCATCCATAGTGACTGGCCTAAAAAGCAAGCACCCAGTATATTAGCCCAAAGGAATACCTGTTCTGGACTCGTGTTACTCAACGACCAAATAGTGTGTGCGTTGTGGTTAGTCCCTCTCATTACCATTCTTGCTCCTGCTTTTCATTCTTGGTCTCATTGCTGAAGTAATAATATAGCATAGTCCCACGGTTTTCAAAACCCACCAGTAAAAGTGGATCAGTGTCAGCTGACAACATACAATTACCTGAC